AAAATTGAAACGGTACCCCGTCGCTTCGGCGAAAATTGGTGTGCAGGGGCATGCCAGGCTCGGCATCGATAGCTGGGCCAAGTACTGGTGGTTTAAGAATCCACAATTGCATATATGTGCTATATGAGACTTGGAACATCACAAAGACACACAGGTTAGTAACATCAGGGCCTACTGGGCTTGCGGGAATCTGCTCTTTAAACGTCTCATGCACGTCCTTGTACGAACTAAATTTCAGTCCTGCCCCTTCAAGACTCCACAATCGCATATATGTCCTATATGAGACTTGGAACATCACAAAGACACACAGGTTAGTAACATGGCACACCAAAACAACCCATGCGCCCACCTAAAGGCATGAACAGCGTACATAATGTCTCAATAGACTCAATAAAACTAAGCAAAAGTCAGCATTCCTTGAAAAACACAGGGTTCACAGACTTTAAACTGCAATGCTCAGCACACTGCGCATACACTGGTGTCATAGGCAATAAATACGGCTGTTCGACATCATCGCTCAGTGTTCAAACTCTTGAGCTTTGGATTTGAAGCCTTTGGGATTGGAATTGTCTTTATTTTTTTCCCATGCTGCAAGGAAAATGAGCAATAGCGAGATGACAATATCCAGTTTGCACAATCACATTGAAAGCCAGAAAGTATCACAGTGTCCAGAAAGCAGCATTGCACCAATATTACACCAATGGAGAATTGTAACACTGAAAACCCAATGTCAATGAGAGCTTGCTCTCGTCACCACCAACTTAAGTGTCCAGGACCTCCCTCCTTGGCGCTCGGCGCCCAGCCTACTTCCTACACAGCTATTGTCTGCCGACTAATTGACAATGCAACTGTTGACGTCAGCAGCCAGCGAAGTACTTGAAGATGTCGCCCAATGCAGACCATCGCCAGTACCAGGTATGTGCCCTCACATCATCATCATCATCATCATCATCATCATCATCATCCTTCTCTCTCTCTCCCTCGACTTTCACCCACGTCTTCCCTCTGCACACACGAAGACCACCTCTGCGCCTCACTGTAGTCCAAGCCTCAGCCAGCTATGGAGGCTGGGCTATGGTGCTGCCCTCAGCAGCGCCCTTCTTCTCGCACGACCGCTCGTGCACAGCACCTTGCCCTTAGCGCACAGCAGCACGCGAGCCTACGCTCCAGCAGCGCTGCCGCACAAACTGGCAAGTGGCTGAACGAGGCCCCAGGCAGCGAGCTCTTTCCTATATGGAAAGAGTCTGCCTGCCCTGGCGGCCTGGCTGGGCTGGGCCTGTGCCCAGAATGCTCCGGTAGGCCCCAGGAGGCTGTGCCTCTGTTACAGCTGCTGGGCCTCGTTCGGTTGGGTCTCCCAACTGTCTGTGTATGATGCTGCGATTCTTGCCCAGGGCCTGCATTTCAGGAAAGGCCTGGAAGGCCATGGAAAATCTTTGCTGCTCGGGCCTGTGTTCCCTCAACCAACTGGTGCGTCACAACTGGCTGGACCCCAAATACAAAATTGACAGCAATGGGCCTTTCAGGATTTGTTAGGCATGCCTTCACTTAGGGCGGGCACATCTGTATCAGGGCCCCTCAGGCCTGCCGAGGACCCAGATTCCTCGTGACGCTCCCAAAACGCATGCCCAGTGGGGGCAACAGTCTGGTTGGTCTTCACCGGCAAGCGAAATGTTGGACAGGATGATAGCAATGGGGGAGAAAAGACGAAAATGCTCAGATGAGGGCCCTCTCTGCCCGGCACTAGCCCCCTGTGGTGGAGGCCCTGCTATCGGCTTGCCTGCTCCCTCTCTGGGCGTTCTGAACCTCTCATACTCCTTCTGTACCCACAGGCAGTCTCCTGCTGCAGCTGGGCTTTTAGTATGGAGGGGCAGTATGTGAGCTCAAAGCTGTGTTGTTGCTGACATATATTAATTGGCCTGCTCCCTGCTTGCCAATATTCGTGTTGGTGTGACTATTCTGCTTCCTGTGCTCCTTATTGTCGTGTTGCATTTATTCATGGTTTATGATGGGCAACCTGCATAGGAAGAAGATGAAGAGGAGGTGGAGGAGCCAGGGTAGGAGGGGTTAGAATTTGGAAATTTTTGTTTTATATTTTCATTACATAATAAGTGCTGTTCATATTTTGTTTGATATCTGCAATCGTGAGAGGCCATGTCAGCAAGTGGTGTCCTCTCACCCCTTGCCCCTCTTGTTACTTGTATTCTCCAGCTAGCGTTGTGAGCTTGTGGTTCTATTGCTCCTCTCCTTTCTCCTTCTTATCGATCTTGATGTTCCCACTTATTCTTCTTGAGCTCGTCTTAATCCTCACTTTTTCTCCTACTACTAGGTCATCCTTACCAGCTTTGTGCTATGTCATCCGCGTTGCTGTTCAGCTCCTCTTTACCACACCCTTGTCATGGTCGTCATTATCCTCCTCTCCTCATTCTCGTCTTCCCCCTTGCACTCCAGATCTTCATACTCTTCCTTGTCTCTATCACCTATTCTTCCTCCTCCTCAATCTCCTTATGTTCAGTTTCCCATTCCTCTTACGATCCTGGCTGTTTCCGAAGTGCATCACAAGGAAATACAATGCCAACCCATTGCGAAAGAAATGAAAGCACTTGCAATGATATAGAGACCAAAGAAGAATAACGAAGAAGAAAAAAGAAGAAAGAAGAAGAAAGAAGAAGAAAAAACGAAGAAGAAAGAAAGAAGAAGAAAAAAAAAAGAAGAAAGAAAGAAAGAAGAAAAAAAGAAGAAGAACAAAATAAGAAGAAAAGAACGAGAAGAAAGAAAGAAGAAGAAAAAAAAAAGAAGAAAGAAAGAAAGAAGAAAAAAAGAAGAAGAACAAAATAAGAAGAAAAGAACGAGAAGAAAGAAAGAAGAAGAAGAAGATGTACACCGGCAGGACCAATGATAAATCTCCGTTCTCTCTCCACTCTCCTCCTCCTCCTTGTCTCGGCCAATCTTATTCTTCTCCAAATAATAATAATAACAAGGAGTGGTTGAACCAGAATCAATGTCCAAAGTTCCCTCTTACCGCCAACACAACAATAGGTTGGCGGAGTACTAAGGGCCATGCCCTGATGTGCGAAAGACATCGCAAAGCAGCTATGGCCTGACTTTGAGAATTCTTGGTGCAGCACTGCCCCAACTGGGGCCTTCCAGATGCAGCACCTAACAAGGTGATGAAGATGGTGTCCACCAGAGCCACGTAGTTACCTCGCCACTCTCCTCATTCACCTCCTTTTCCCTCCTCCTGAAGCTGGGCTGCTTGCCATAGCCAGGCAGAGCACCCAGCTCGCCTCCTTCCTCCCTAGCAGCGCTTTTAGAACCAGTGCCCGCTCAAGCAGCATGACACCCAAACTTGCTTACTGCAAATTTGGAGGAGCTACTCGCTCCTCCAGGAGATATAGCGGCCAACTAGCCTCACGGCTGGTGACTTCGAGGCCGCACGGCCTCCAAGCAGCCGGTACCTCCTCCCTTTCCGAGGGAAACATCGTTGAAGGCTCTGATATCATCCACACAGGACCTAGACTCAGGCTACTTGGACTGGTACCCGCCTAGGCAGGCCGGCATATCCCCGTGAGACCTATTTTCAACATTTTCCATATGTCGGGTATCAGACAGTTGCAGCACGCCAGTTGACGCAACAGCTGCGTTGTACAGTTGAGCCCAGGGCTCAGGTGGTTGCGCCCTGGGCGCACGCAGTCGGAGGCCGACACATCACACAGTGGTCGTGTACCAATGAGAATGCAGCATTGTCATCACACATCTACCGCGACCCAATGAGAATGAGGCAAACCTGGACGTACCTAACTGCACGAGACCGAGGCCAGTATCTGAAACTGGGCCTGGGGGCAGATTTTGGGCCAACCTGAAGCTACTGGGGCCCTACCCAGGCCCAGAACAGCCAGTGGGAGGGCACACTTTCCATATAGGAAAGTGAGAGCCCAAGGTTATGTGGGATCATGAGAGCATGCTGACATTGCACTTTGGCTGAGGTGGCATTACATTGTGTGTGGTACCGAGGCTATGACCGGTCATCAAAATGCACGTTGGCTCAATTGGTGATAAATCTGTGGTTGGGGGTAGCTTTCTTCAGGTACGTTATTCTCTTACCTTATCTTCCCATCTCAATCTCTTCTGACTGTGAGGAAGTAAGTTTAATTTGAGTGTCCTCTTCTGGTTCAGGAGTCTTGAGCGCTCTACCTTGAGAGTCCACATTCTTCCTAGTGGTACATTTGGCAGGAGAGGGCGTCGCCTCTGAAGGGCCCAGGTCGAAGCATGGGTCACAGTCGCCATGCCAACCCATGGGAGCAGAGCACGCATGCTTTGCTGCTTTGTCCGCTGTAGATGGAATGTGGACTGGCCAGTCCTATGCGAGACATGTACAAGACTGTCTATAATGAACCTCTGGTGGGGATCTGATACCTGGCTGTGGTCATCGTCCTATCTGCAACGTTAAATAATTCTTGAGGACTGGGGGGCTGTCCTTAAATTGCCTCTTGATCAGCCAGGTTATCGGAGTAAGGCTCGTTGCACGCAAAATGGCAGAGCTGGCCATAAGCGGATTCCTGGGCACGGGGGTGGGTTGTTGTGCACGCTATAGACACCGCCGCTTGATGATGCAATCAGGAACGTTGAATACAGGGGAGGGAAGGTTTCAATTGGTGCACGAAGGCAAACATTATATATCCATTTCCGCATATATTTGTGCAAGTGATTTAGTTTATGTTGATTAGTTGAGGTGTGACCGACTGCCAACACCTGACAAACAACACTAGACTAGAACTGTAATATTCTACCATTGCCAGGTTTGTATGATGCTGCTGTTCGAGAACTGATCGAAGTAGCAGTAGATCATTTGCTCAGTCTGTGTTTACATTGTTGACACCACTTGATTGGGACCTGGTTGACTTGCCGAATAATTATTTATTTTACAAACCTGTCATGCAGTGGTAGGCCCCAGCGAGGCCGGTCGTGCAGACTGTGATCTGCTTAGCTGAAGAGCGGTACAGATAGTGGGGAAGGACCGGCTGACGACAGGGTACGGATGCGCCGGGACACACAATGGATTCCGATAGTGTTCCAGGTTCTGCTACCAGGGGACGAGAGAAGGTTCCGGGCCGAGGCAAGGGCCCAGCGTTTGCAGGCAGCTAGAGAGGCAGCAGCAGCTGCGAACCGTGCGTTAGCAGCAGCAGCAGTTAGTGCTGAAGCTGTGGCAACTTCTGCAGCGATCTCTAAAGGTCAGCAGACATCAGGATTCTTCGCTATGTCTTTTGTCTCATCTTGTGGGGCGAGTGCGGGACCTTCCTCCAGTCAGATGGCAGGCTTGCAGTACAGCCAGCCACCTCTGGCCGCTAGGGAGGAGTTAGAGCTCCAACAATTAGAGCTACTCCGTTTACAGCTAGAGAAGCAACTCAAGGAAGCTACCGACAAAGAGACAAAGAATAGAAATAGAAAGGCCAGAGTGGAGAGCAAAGGTGATGATGTGGCTGCATTAGAGGGGTTAGATGACTCAGTCCTTGATGATGTGGAAGAGGTCATCAACGCGGTTATCCATGCGTATATGGACAGCAGATTGGATGACGAGATTCTGAAGGCCGTGCAGGGGAAGGGAAGAGCAATCCCTTCCACAACAGGCGAGCCTAGTTTCTGGCCACCAGCAGCATATCCATGGCCGCCATTTATCCGGAGATGCCAAGATACTTGGTTCCTCAGTTTGGTTTACCAGCAGCACATACTATTGCTTCTTCATCCTCAAGTCCAGCTGCTGCAGCTATGTGGAAGCAGCTGGTTTCACAAATGGGACCACAGTAGCCTTGGTACCCCAAGACTCCACTGAAACCACCTCAAACCTTCTTTGGTGATAAGAAGGATGAGACACTCGACACTTGGTTGAGAACGGTTCCTGTGTGGGTAAGGGCGAAGAGGACGTGTGAGGAAGAGGTGATCACTGCCGCCTTGTATTTTGAGGGTTCGGCAGTGACATGGTTAGATGGACTAGTGGCATCCAAGGGTTTGGGCAGTTGAATGAATGACTGGGTGCAAACCCACACATTAGCGAGTTTCATGGGATCGGTAGAAACGCGATGACCCAACCTTCAGCAGGCTCAGCAAGCCACTGATGCGTTGGCTGGCTTGATACTCGGAAGTGCAAGTCCGCGTGAGAACTTACCACTGCCGTTAAAAAGCTCATCGTCGTCCCTGGAGTGCGCTACGATCCACAGGTCTTGTTGACCATCTTGTGAAGATGTCTTCCCACAAACATCAAGAACGTGATGGTCAGCGAGGCCAGCATCGAGTATCATACTCTTGACTCCTTTAGCAAGAAGGCCTTGGATTTAAAGGCTAAGCTAGGAGGAGCTTAACAACCTGCAGCGGGCCGTAGGAAGAAGAAGACTCCACAAGAATGGAAAAAGAAAGGTAGTTGATTGATGATGGTTGATTCCGACGGGAATCAAACCGAGATCGATGATTTTTCTGAGCTTGTGGAGGATACAGAGTTAGGCAGCGAGAAGAGTGTAGAGGGTGGCAATCTCGCTGCAGCAACCAAAGGAAAGGCTGCTGGTCGCGGCAAGGGCGGCCAGCAAAAGAGTCAAGAGCAGACTCAAACCTCAAAAAGACTCTGACTTGGGTGAGGGCTGGCTTGGATCACGTGGAGGAACAAATATTCGCGAGGAGCTTGCATCAACTGTGATGATTACGACCATCAACAGTTTAGATGCAAGAATGCGAAGGTCTCTCAGAAGATATCCCCCAAAGGTGGTTTTGGAGGATTTTTCGCCCAGGGAGGAGCTTCTACGGGCTCAACCTAGGGAAACACATCCGACGAGTAGAAGTTGTAGTTGCGTCCACTCATGCTGAAGTGGATGGTTTACCCTCGCCACTTTAGGAGTTGGCCGAAGCTACCGACTCACTTGCCACCCCGCATACGCATCTAGACCAAATGATACTTTGTTCGTTAGATGTGTCTGGAGCCTCGGAAGACCAAACTGAGTGGTCAGCAAGGGACCCTCGTGAGTTTTGGGTTGCCATATCAAGAGGTCCAAAAGGGGAGCATGTCTAAGTCGAAGTCGGTGTAGGTGGTTGCAAGTGTGGTGCTTCTGTAGACATTGGCTCTACACGAAACTTCATGAGTCGCAACTGCGTTGAGAGACTGCGCCTAGGCTACCGGATGCAGCGCTTGAGTAGAGTTGTAGCATCTACTCTAGCCAACAAAGAGCGCATGTTGGTCCAAGACTACGTCACGGACGACATCTTCACCTTCTCTTATAAAGGTGGGGAACTTAATCAGGTGATTTCGTTTCTAACCTTTGCAATGTGCCGGGTACATTCCAACATGCCATGAATAGGGTATTCCATGACTACTTAGATAAGTTTATTATCGTGTACCTCGACAATATTGTTATCTTTAGTAAGACTGTCTAGGAACATGCACAACACTTAGATCTTGTGTTGGGCCTCCTTATACAAAAAGATCAATTAGGTGAAATGCGAGTTCGGATGCACTAAGATCTTGTACTTGGGTTATGAGGTATCCTGGGATGGGGTTAGGATCGAAGATGCAAAGGTGGCTAACATTCGTAACTGGCCACGACCTCAGTCTTTGATGGAGGTCAGATCTTTCTTAGGGATGGCCGGCTACTACCGCAACTTCGTCAAAAATTATAGTACAGTGGCCGCCCCCTTGACTGATCTAACACGCCTTGACACACCACGAAAATGGACAGACTAATGTGAGGGAAACGTTTGAAGTATGCTCTCATGCATCATGAGATTCTCATGCTTCCTAATCCTGAGAAGCAATTAATTGTGACCATTGGCGTAAACCAATATGGCATTGGCGCATTGCTGGCTCAACAGAAAGGGAAAAAGTTGAGGCCGATCGAGTACATGATTAAGACGATGCCATCTAAGAAGTTGGCGAAGTCCACCTATGGGAGGGAACTCCACGCCCTTTACAAAGCCTTTGTCCACTGGAGGCATTATCGGCTTGGTAGGTTCTTCTATTTGAGGACCGACCATCAGACACTCAAGCGGATCAAGACAGAGCTTATTCTGTGACACACTCAAACATTGGATTGAAGTCGTAAGTCAATAAAACTTCAAGTGACTACGTGAAGGGAGAGTATAACAAGGTTTCTGATGCGCTGTCGCGTAGGGCAGACTACCTAGGTGTGTTAATTACTGAATTTGACTAATACGACGATGTAACTCGATCGTTGGTGGATGCCTACAAGGAAGATCCCGCCATGACCAACATCATATGCAAACTAGAAGCCGGAGACAAGGCCGCATCTGACGAGTTTGTGATGGTGGACGGGTTACTCATTCTTGAAAAGGCAGGGTTTAAAAGATTGTGTGCCATCTAGTGAGATTTTGCGTAGTTTCGTTTTAGGTGAGTCTTATGACGCAACGGGACATTTCGGCTACAAAAAGACCAGTGCTAACTTGGTGCAACGTTTCTCGTGGCCTAGTATGCCTGACGATGTAAAGAGGTACGTCCAGACATGTCAAGTCTGTCAGCGGGGTAAGTCGCGAACTCAAGCACCAGTTGGGTTAATCAAGCCGTTGCCAATTCCTGTAGGTCCAGGACAAAGTATCTCCATGGATTTCATGGATACTCTCGTGGCCAGCAAGAGTGGCAAGCGGCAAATGTCATAGTAGATAGGTTTACTAAGTACGTTGGACTGATCCCCATGCAAGAGACTGCCAAGACTGAGCACGTCATCAAGTTATTCATGGATAACTGGGTGCGTGATTTTGGACTGCCTAGGACCATTGTTAGTGACAGAGATGTCCAGTTCACGAGTGAAATGTGGAAGAAGGTTGCTGAACAGATGGGCAGCCAACATAAATGACTTCGAGGAATCATCCCGAAGTCAAGGGGCAAGCGGAACAGATGAACCGCGTGGTGCAAAATTTGTTGAGGCATTACATCAAGCCCAACCAGGATGACAGGGATGAGAAGTTGCCTCTCATCGCCAGCCTCTACAGCAACGTTGTACACAACACCACCAACGTCAGTTCCAATGAGCTGCATTTGGGTGGAAGCCTAGATCTGCACTAGACTTGTCGAGCACATCAGAAATCTTAGGAGGCAATGATTGCCTCTGAGAACAATAACAAACGACAATCCACATTTCAGGTAGGGGAACGTGTCTCGGTAAAGGCTAGTGAGATGGGACATGAATTCGTTATCTCAAGAAAGCTAATGCCACAATATTTCGGTCCATGGGAAGTTCTAGATATTGTGGGTAGTGATTTGGATGGTCCCTCGTATGTCATAAGAATCCCATGTCATCTGTGCACTTACCCTGTATTTCATGCTTCCAAGCTTGCACTTTCAGTGAGACTGATCAGTTCCTATCAAGATGATCAATGCTGCCCCCAACCATGGATGGTCATGTGGACGTCGACGACATTTTGGAACACAAAGATCTGCCTGTCCCCAAGCTTGTAGGCAGAGGAAGACCACCGAAACCTATGAGTATCGGGTCAGATTCACGCGTTATACGGATCTGAAAGAAGATCGTTGGTTCACAAGAGAGGAGCTCGTCAGTACAACACCTCAGATTGTGGCAGAGTATGAATGAAAGTTCAAGGGGAAAGCACATGCATAGAAGCATAGAAGCATCTGAGGGGACTCTCGAAGCTAAGGGGGATGGAATGCAAGGACTGGACCCCGCAAAGGCCCTTCAGAGGCATGCAAACATTCTGGGCTTAGGCCCCCAGCAAGCCACATGTCCGCCCTAAGTGAAGGCGGGCTGACATATTCCCATGAGGCCTATTTTTGACATTTTCCGTATGTAAGGTATCAGACAGTTGCAACACGCAAGTTGGTTACAGAGCAACGTGAACCTTCTGTGGCTCCTTCCAGAAGCAATAACTGCGTTGTACAATTGAACCTAGGGCTCAGGTGGTTGTGCCCTGGGCACATGCAGTGGGAGGCCGAAACATCATGCAGTGGCCACGGACCAATGAGAATGCAGCATTGTCGTTACACATTACCGCGACCCAATGAGAATGAGGCAAACACTTGGAGCCTGGAGGGCTACCTGGACGTGCCTAACTGCATGAGGCTCAGGCCAGTTTCTAAAAGTGGGCCTGGGCACAAATACTTCGGGCCAGCCTGAAGCTATTGGGCCCCTACACGCCAGGCCCAGAATGGCCAGCTGGAGGGCACACTTTCCATATAGCAAAGTGAGAGCCCAAGGGCCTGTCATTCTGGCCTGACTGGGCAATGTGGCCACATTGCTGTAGTAGCACATGCGCAACTGCGCTAAGTTGCGGGCCAGATGCTCCCACGGGCGCTGAGGTGAGAGGGGACCCTGCTGAGGCAGTGGGCGGTTGGCGGCCATAGCCGGGCTGCTGAGGCACAGGCGTGGTGATGGCGATGGTGGTCTTTGGGTAGGAGGCGCGTTCAGTTTGGGAAGACAGGGGCTGATGAGGGGAGGAGTGAGACACGTACCTGGTGTATGCTGGCGGTCTGCATTGGCGATTGACGTCACATACATTGGTCTTCAACTTCAGTGTGTCCCTGTTGCATGAGCGCAGATAGGCTAGGTAGGCTAAGTGGAGTAGGCCGGGCGTTGGGCGCCAGACAGTAGGATCAACATTGGATACCATGTTGGTGTGACCACAGAGC